AACTGCGATGCAACCCTCAGACATCTTCTGAGTCAGACTCAGAATCTGAGATGTGATGACTCCTATAATACGAGCTCTTGCCCTTGAATGACAGCCAGTGTTAGTAGTCATGATAGACGATACTGTTACAGCATCTAAAAAGGAAGACGCAATGATCATAGGTCCCCTAGATTCAAGTGACCCTCCATACTACGGTCAGAATAGAGGGACTTGCATTGTTCCACCACGATATCCACTACTTCGTCCTCCAACAAGCTGTCGGTTTTACAGATGACTATGGAAAGCGGCAGGAGCTCGAATCCTTGAGGCACTGCAAAATATGCAGCTAAGCGCACGGTCGTAGCTACTGTATCGAAGTAGAGACCGATACATTGGCCGGCGTCAGAGGCGTGGACTATCTCCATGCAGATACTGTGATGTGCGTCGAGCCGAACTTCCACAGTGAGCTCCTTAATAAGCTCAGCTGTGAGGCTTGCTAGTGAAAATCCGGGCCTCAGAGAATTCAGGGTGCGTTCCATCGTTTTTGTGAGAAACACTTTCTCCAAAGATATATTCAAACACATGCAGGACTGGACAAGATGTTTGAAGAAAGGACGTAAGGCACCCGGTTTCAATTTATACGGAAAATAGGCTGTGATCACGTTGGGTGCCTCGCTCCGGGATATTGCAGTGCTGCTCTCAGGCATTTCGGATGGTAGCGACTCCTCGTACTTGTTGCTAGCAGACAGCCTAGCCGAGTCCGGCTCCGACCTCCGGCTCTGACTGCCATATACGGTCGTCGCAGTGTTGGCAGCCGCGGCGAATCGGGCGCTATGCCCTGGATTCATGAACAACGGATGAAGGACTTCATCGATGTTGCCAACACCAGGAGTTGGTGGAATGACTGCCCCATCTTCTGTGTTGTAGGGCGGCGTAGTTGGCGGCAAAGTGTCTCGGAATACCGTTACCTCCGCATCAGAAGCAGATGAGAGAAACACACCGGCCTCTGCCTTAGAGCCAGATGAGCTACATCTCATACGTTTCCTAGCTGGTGGCACCAGCCTGGTGCGGGAGTCGTCGAAGGCTTATAACGTCCGGGCTTCCAATGGACATTTCTGGTGGTCAGATGCCAATTAGCAGCCAATTCGCTTTCGTGGCAGTTGATCAAGTGCTGTCTTACCTTCCATGAATTCCAGAACGCACTACCGCTATCCGGTGGCTGACAAAAATGACAGCTATATTTCCATCCATCTACTGTCAGCAAGGGCTCGAAAAAGCCGTCTGGCCGGAAGTTACCCTTGCATGGACGACCGCGGCCTCCCATCATTAAGAAAAGAGCTTTCAAAAACTGAACTACAGTAGATCGGCTAGTAGGCATATTGCTAGTAGCAATTAAACACCACAAAACATGGTTATCGAGTTCAATCCTTTATATAAGATGAAACGTAAGGGTGGCTACTCATCGCAGCAGTGCGAATTACACGCCCAAGTGCCAATTTTCCTGTAAATGCAAGAAAGGCGCATATTTAGGCCGAAACATATTCCGTGCAATGCCGAAACGCTGGACTGAACCCGGGAAAAATGTGGGAAATTTCCGGGAAAATTTCCCGGAATTTCCGGGAAATATGGGAAATGGGAAAAATCGCCTTTTTTCCCAAAACGGACAAACCCTGGCTGGAGCAGAGCCTCAATGAGGCGACCAAGAAGCTCAGGACGGCAAAGAGGTCTGGCAGCTTCGTCGGAGCCGAACACTGGAAGGAAGAACTCACCGAGCGTAGGAAGCTCTTTAGGCTAGAGGTGCGAGCCCCCAAAAAGAGAACAGGGGACGGCTTTTACGGATCCCTCCAAGCCTTCGCTAAGTGCGCCCGGCCTGCAAAGAGCAAAGCCGCCGCTGCGATCCTCAATGGCGACCCGAGCACCAACCAAGCGGCTCATCTACTGGAGAAGCTATTCCCTCGGGACCCTCATCGGTCCCAGGGAATGGCCAGGGCTTGTGTAGGTGCAGGTCCTACAGACCGCATCCCGGCGGTAACGGAACAAGAAGTACTGGACGCCGTTGGCCGCTTGAAGGTATCCACGCCTTGAGCGGATGGCGCTAATGCCGAAGTCCTGAAGAGAACAGCGCCGGAGCTGGTAGCTAAATGGGCCTCGGCCTTCACTGATATCCTCAGGTCAGGCGAATTCCCAGCCGAGTGTCGGGCTTGGGCCCGATCGTACTTCTTACGTGCGCCTCCAAGCTGCTGGAGTCAGATTCCAGCAGCTGGTTACTCATAAACTCCGCTTCGCGTAGTTTATGAGTTACCAAAATTGGTCCCCACTTACTTCTGTCACATGGCGGCCCATCGCCAGATCTTCTCCTTCCAGGACCGTCACGGTTGACAGAGGTTCAATGCCGAAGGGACCTGCGTTTAAGGCTCGTAGAGCACTCATCGTAGCCTCAACATCCGATAAGAAGGGAGTGCAAAAGTTTGTCTCGTCTGCATTCGCTGATAGCACTCGAGCACAGATGAGATCAGCGTCGGCACTGTACATCTCAATTTGCGAAGCTAGGAAGTGTGTCCCTTACCCAGTTCGCCTGGATAGTCTATTATCCTTGGTACATGCTATGACTGTCAGTCATTGACTGAAGCTATGTATGGTTTTGGGGCAATACAGAAGTATATTTCACAGATTCGAACTCAGGCTACTCGCTCTAGACTTATTTCTATGGATGAGGTTGATGACTCAGTGCTCGGTTTGGCCCTACGAGCAGCGAAAAGCTGCGCGGCTGCCAGCAGACGCATGCCGAACCCTTATCCCGTGAAGACGTGTTTGCTGTTCAACAGCAGCTGTTGCCTCAGCTCGCCGAGCTACAGGGCCTGGAGCCGCAGACCTTTACCCGCTAGACGTCGCAGGGTTGTTCCGTCTAGGTGAACTTCTACAAATGCAGGCGGATGACATAAATCCAACGTGGATTGCTGGTCGTTTTGCTGTCTCGGTCTTTATACGTCACTCTAAAACTGATGTTTTTCGTAAAGGTTGTTCGTGTATTCGTGGACGGACCTCGACCCAAGATTGTACATCCGAGTCTAGTCGAAATTGATTAGATCAAGACCGAGAAGACCATCCGAGAAACCAGCTAGAGGTAGGTGGGTGATATATGGGGACCAAGAGACTTCGCAGGAAGTACCAGAGGAATCGAGGACAGTAAGGGTGGTGTCAAGGACACAGTGTGCTTGAAGGCCATGTTCATGACTAGCTGTGGTGAAGGAGACCGGATCGATTAGATTGATAGTGGCATCAGGTAGGTACTGTTGTAGATGAAGAGCAGCGGTATGAGTAATGAGAGAGTGATTGCAACCTGTGTCGATTTCGAGACGCAACGTCTGGAAGGCGGGGCACCGTAGAGTACGGTGAGCAGGTAACGTAGGAGTGGTAGTAGTGCAGACTTTGGCAGTCGGAAGAGATGTAGGTAAGGACTCGGCCAATGGTGGTTTCTCGTGCTTATAAGAGCAATCTGCGCGGCGACAGATACCATGAGCTACGTAATACATACATAAATTATGGCTGAGACAGAATTGACGAAGGGTAGGGTCTAGGTGAGGCCCACGAGACGCACCGTTAGTGGGAGCAGCAGAGGTGACAGGAGGCTTCACCTGAGTGGTATCAGCAGTAGGGTCGGTAGCAGCAGGGTTGGCATAAAGGTTGCGCTATTTTTCCTTCCATATGCGTAAAGAAAAATAAATGATGGAAAAATAGGGAAAAATAACACCATCTCTCGCCTTTTCTTTCCGCTGGAATCCATCAACTCTCGAGCGATGTATGCCCGGGCAAAGTGAGTAAATCTCCGACTATTATGCAGAGTACATCTAAGATGTAACATCTTCGGCAACACCTCTTGACAAAAGGCTTTTGTGCATATGCCCGACAAATCTTGATCCACGAGCCACTCGTGGCAAGGGTATGAGAATCACATGGTATGCCACATTTTCTCTCATAATGAGAGAAAATGTGGCTTACAATGTTCTCGACTTTGACTCATGACATAAATACCATGATTTAATGGGTTGCGTTCTAGTGAATCGTAATCGATTTTGTCTCGAAGAATACATAGAGCCTAGTATTTCATGAAATCTCAACGATTTCGTCGCGGCAAACGACACTTTGAAGACACGGAGGAATGCTCCAGGGTAAAGAGTACACATGCCGACAGTGATATTCGAGAGAGTACTAATTCCGAATGT